AAGTTAACTGACTGCAGGGGCGAAAGCACTTGGGGGGGTCGGAGAGGCGTCGACCCCTCCAAAAAAAAAACAAAATAATAAATTAGGGGTGGAGGATTTTGCTGGAATTGGAAGATTTTCCTTTGAGTGCGCATGTTGGGCCCTCCCCGGTTTCATGCGGTACATACATGGGCGGAGGAGCGCCACCAGTTTTGTCGTGAAATTTTTTTTTTAAAGACAAATTGGGCCTTCCCCGAAACGGGATCCTGGTTTCGGAACAAGGAGAACTATAACAGCAGGATTTAATAATTTTTTTATTTTTATTATATTTTGAGTTGGTTAATTAACCGACTTGCGGTGTACCGACGGGACTCAAAAACCGAGTCGATCATTATCAAAAAATACCTTTATGAAAGTACGGGAAGCGAAGAGTGCGTTGGTGGCATCGATTTATGAAATTGAGGTGTCGACAATTTATTTTGGGTAGCCCGAAGTTGAGAGAAAAATGGCAGTGGCGGTGATTTTATTGTCATTTTCATGTCTAGACTTCGGGTAACCGTCGGCCCTCGTTAGGCGTGCTGAAAATTAGCGGAAGTGCTTTCTTGAAAGCACGAGAACAGTAGAAGCCGTTCGTAAAACTTATTTCGCGTTTCGAAGTTTGGAGTATTTATTTTGAGAAGCTCGAAGTCGAGTGCGCATAATAGAAGAATAAAAAGCCGTTTTGCGGGGTTCCGTAAGGTTGCGTGTGACCTCGGTTTAGCGAGAATTGAGTTGGAGCGTGTAGACAATTCAAACATGATTCCATACGGACAAATTTCGTATTTTTCGGAGTTCTGAGCATTTATTGTGGGAGTTTGAATTTCTGCGTTAAATAGTATCAAAAGGAGCAAATTTTTCGAGGACGAGTTCGATCGTTTGAGACTTCGTTTTCTCAATTTTTTCAGCTTTTCGTCTATTCGAAAGGAGGTATAATTTATTATTATTATTATTATAATTGCGTCCGAGATTTTTATTAGTATAAATTTGGGTATTTTTCGAGTTAAAACAATTCAGTGTAAGTATACCAGTTTAATTCCGGACTTAATTTGATTTTTAGAAAAATCTCTAGAGTATTCCTTTATATCTTGCGAAAATTTTCGAGAGCGTCCACAAAATCCCTTTGAGCGCCCTTCCGATACCGGAGTGGGGGTGGTGCGCCGCGGCAAATTGGGCCCTCCCCGGGATGACCGGTTGGTTTTGCCACTGACTGACTGCATACCAAATATTAATTAATATGTTTAACAGAAGCCAACAAACATATGTAGTTGTATAAGTATCTGTAAGTAAGAGTCCCATACGGCCTTTTCGGCTACGATGAATTTTCTTATCGGATCCATACCAAATCCACTTGTATATGGACCATTTAACATATCATACACAATATTGAAGTCTCTCTTCAACGTGTTAATTCTTGACTCAATATGTGGTTTAGCCTTGAAAACCGAGCTAGGCAATGAGACTCGCAACTTGTCCTCGACAAAGTTCAAGTAGCCAGGTTTGTACCCATTTTCAGCCTTATAGGTTCCAAGATTTACCATATCAAGGAGTGCATCCACAAGCTTAGCATCTTCCTCATTATTTCTTTTGTTCTTACCATGACCTCTTATTTCTAGGTTGATGATCCATGCTTTAGAAGACGAACACAAATTGACGATAAAGATTATTAATAGAAAAATATCCATCACATGAATTAACATTACATGAATTAACAAATAAAGAATCCAAAAGTTTGACACTAAAAATATAATCAATAAAAAATGTCCCACATACGGTGCAATATAAACATACTAAGAAAAATTGTTTCACTCGCAATATAAAAAGTAAGTTATGCAGAGTTTCTATGCGCTATCCATGTGTTAAACATACTAATAGCAAGGTTTCTTCTAAAAGTAGTCCATTCGGTAGAAGGTTCAATCGTAGTTACAAGGTATTCATTCTCATCTATGTCACTATTAGCTTGTTGATTTTCTATGTCTTCCTCATCTTCATAACAACCTATTTCTTGCTTAATGAAATTATGAAGTAAGCAACATGCCATGATGATGCGATTTTGAATTTTTATAGGGTAGTATGAAGAACCTCTCAAGAATATCGATTGAGTCTTTATCAAGCCAAAAACTCTCTCTATTGTGTTTCTAGCAGAAGAATGCTTCATATTGAAAAATTCCTCAAGGGTGGTAGCCTGGTAGGCATGTATGTGACTTTCTCTTCAATCATTCAAATAATATCTTTGGCCTTAAAATGGTGCAAAAAAATCCTTCACCATTTGTATGCTCAGAATCCACAAGATAATACTTACCTTGAAGTTATATTAAATATCATTAGTATAAATTATTCAATATTTTCTTTTTTATTTTTCTTATATTGGCATGTATTTATTTTATCTTAATTGAACTAGATATTCATCTTACCACGAGGAACCACTAAGTCATTTCTCCGAGTTATTGTAAGCTAAATAGTTTATTTTTATATTTATTAATAATAAATTTTATAAAAAATATAATTTACTTATTATTCGACTTATGATTTTAAATACCCATATAACCTTAGAAATTTTATTTGTATATTAGCAACGATAATTTTAGCGATCGAATATTAGTGAACGATAATTTTTTGTTTCGTTTTAATTTATAGTGTCAAGTCAGTCCCATTTCTTTTCCTCTTTCGTTTTTCCGTCAAAATCCCGCAACATCGACCGATCACCATTTTTGCGTGAAGAACGAAAACTATGGGCGATCAAATCGCAAGAGGCGAAGAGTTCGAAAAGAAAGCTGAGAAGAAACTGAGTGGATGGGGATTGTTCGGCTCTAAACATGAAGACGCCGCTGAGTTGTTCGATAAAGCTGCCAACGCCTTCAAGCTTGCCAAATCATGTATGTGTATATACCTGAAAAAATTCTATCATCTTATTTATATTCTGTAAATGATTGATCACTTTCTTGTGTGGTTTTATTTGATTTAATGCATCTGTGAATTTATTGATGTCCATGTTAATCCCACGGTTGGATCTGGATCTGAAGACATGGATGAATTAAACAGAAAATTATATAATCCGTTGTATTCATAGCCTGTTATATACTCATGAACACACACACACACACACACACACACACACAGGAGCTTGTGATTAAATTAGCTTGTAATGCTGAACAAGAACAGACGAACACAGCAAGTATATGCCGTCTAATGACTATATCGTGCGTAAATTTATGTTTGATTCTCTCCAATTTCTAAGGGTTGCTTCTGAAATGATGACGGTAATTTATGTTTGATTCTCTCGGAATTCAACTTAAGGGTTACTTTTGAAACAATGACGGAATGCACTGATTGAGTTTACAATATTATGAAATGTTGTGCTTTTGTGTTCGTGTAGATAACTGGCGTGGTATTGTATTTGATATATTTCAGTTGTTGATACATAACCCACACGGCACCCAGATTGTGTAAAGACAAACAGATATTTAATGATTAGTATTTCTGGACTTATCTTCTTTCATCCTGTTTACGTTATAAGCTCGTTTTGAATGTGTTTCAGGTCCTAACTTTGAGTAATTGTGTTCAACAGGGGATCAGGCTGGAGCAGTGTACGTTAAGTTAGCAAATTGTCACTTGAAAGTAAGTTTTTGATAGGGATGTGGTTTTTGCTGTGGTATAAGGTTATCTTATTCTTTCTCTCACGCGAATACTGGTTCTTAACAACTGTGATTATTCAAATATACGCATGCAGTTGGATAGCAAGCACGAGGCAGCTAGTGCATATGCTGATGCTGCTCATTGCTATAAAAAAACCAACATTAAAGGTATGTGTCTTCTCCTGATATTTCTCTCTTTGGTCCTGAAACGATACCCGTGTGTTTGGTATGATGCTACAAAAATTTTGTAAATAGAATATTGTTGTGGATTTCAAACGGAAGGAACAAACACAAGCTTATGGTCCTCACTTGATTCGGTTTTTCAATTTATGAGCCTTTTTCTTTATATGAAATAACTTCTATGGATGTTTGGCAGTTGAGTGGTTATGGTAATCTCATTGCTTTTCAATTTGATGTTAGGAAGTTATGTGAGTCCTGTCCCATTTTGCAGAGTCGATATCATGTCTGGAGCAAGCTGTGAATTTGTTCCTGGACATTGGAAGGCTAACTATGGCTGCCAGATACTACAAGGTAAAAGTGTTACAAACATGTCAATGTCAGGTGATGGTGTTATAGGTATTTGTCTTTTTCAATCATTGAGCTTAAGTTCAACTCCTCGTCAGACAATGTGGGAAATTTATTTTTACGTCTTATTTCTGGTCAACATGTAATAAATCTTAAACTACTTGTATTTATGATCAGTGTTATCAGTGGCGGATGGCAGAAAATGACTGCAGGCTTAAATACCGCCCCCATAACGGCCATCCTTCACTGGCTTCACAAATTTCTAATGGTGGTTAGAAAGAAATCCGCCATAGAAATTTATAACACTTTATGATACATGGGATCTCAAAAGCAGTATCATTATTATTGAAGCTAATTAACTAAGCTAAAAGACAAGAACTGGAAATTTTAACTTTGCAGGAAATAGCTGAATTATGTGAGCAAGAGCAGAACTTGGAGCAGTCTATTGTGTACTATGAGAGAGCTGCTGACTTGTTCCAAAATGAAGAAGTAACATCAACTGCAAATCAGTGCAAACAGAAAGTTGCGCAGTTTGCTGCCCAACTGGAACAGTAAGTTTTGCCTACTCTTTTTGCAATGTGTCATGTTTCTATCTCATTAATGGTTTGAGTTTTTATACTAAGTGCTTTTACACACTCCATCTTGAATGTGATATGATTTGAATGAATGACTTGAATCGTTTGTTAGCATTTCAGTAGTTTTATGCATGCATGTGCATCTTATGGTACCTTTGGCCAGAACAGAATCCTGTTGGCTGTTTTTTTTCCTCTTCTCATAGTTACTTGCAACCTGAATATTCAGACCTCTGTGGATGCACGCTAATCTTTAGTGAGAAACGAAATCCACTCATCCCATAAGCAATACCGTGTTTCATTGGTCTAATTTTTTTTTTTTTT